CACCAGAGGAATGGTCAGACACTTTCATTTTATACGGACAGCTCGAAGGCCCTGGCCGGGCTGGCCCTCTCACTCAAGAGCCCAAATACATGGCCCAGACATGCAGAGGCATTATCCTCGAAGGAATCTGGCGGCGCCGGAACGAGCTCCTATTCAAGGGTGAAAGGCACAATCATCAACAGACTTTCAACATAATTCTGACAGACCTCCGTATTACGATCATCACAGACCGGCGCTCCAAGGGCGCGATCTGGTTCTCTAAGACATGGGCACACAAGAATGCATGTGCGATCATCAGCACAAAAGGCAAGATCATGCCAAGATGCAACTGGCGAAATGGCTCTCGGGTTCGGAAATACAAGAATGAGACCACGCCCCTCCAGGCTGGGTGAGTTGCAGTTCAAGCTCTTCAGAATTTTTGTAGTAAAAGTAGAGGTTTTCCTTCCTGTTGTTTTCTACTTTATTGTTTTCACCTTACTAATCCAGTTGAGGATTTTTTAAGGAGAGGTACTTTATGGGACGCTGTGACAAACCATTTTCTGTAATCGCGCGACTTTCTGCGCGAAGCTGCTTTAGGGGAACGGGACGGGTTAGTAAGGCGAAGTGCGTGGGGATGGGTCGGCTGGGCAAGTTGCATGGATGTCCTCGTTTCTTTTTCGATTTTCTTTTTCGATTTTGTCGGGCCAGCATCGGGAAAGGTCCGGCCTAGGCAGTAGGAGACCGCGCCTTAGCGAGCGCAAGAAAAAACTGCTGCCATAGCTTCTTTCTTGTTCAACTGATGTCGAGCCCCCGTGGGCTCCTCGCAATTATTTTTCGAGTTTTTTTTCGTTCTTCGGAATTTTCGTCTTCGGCAATTCGGATTTAGATAGGAATTTAGGAACCTTGAAATTCTCATTGTGCTGTGCTTCTTGCTTGCGCGTACTTGTCTACGGCGGGAGCAGAGCTCTGACTAAGTTGCGCCCTTAATCTTGCGTGTAACTGTATTTTTGGCGGGCGCAGCTTTAACTGTATCTCTCTCTTCTTGACTCTTTCACATTTCTTCCCGCCTTCTTCCTTCCTGCTGTGCATGCATCTTCCCTCGTTTTGATAGGCCGGCGCGCTGCATGCCCAGATCGATGCGTGGAGAGTGGCTACGACCCCTACGCCGCGGCCTGACCATGCAGAACGTAGGCACTTCCCTTCTCTCCTCCTTCCTTCTGTCTTGGGTATGATATCGGGTTTCTCGCGCAAGCACGCATGCTATAAATTTCGCAAGCGCGACTGATTCGCTCTCTCTGGATTTGGAAGGTTAGCGCGGTCAGTAAGATCGACTAATGAGCAAGTTGGAAGGTGAGTAGAAGTGAGTCGGGGGATCCGACGGGCTGGTGCCAAGTAAGTGGGTTTGACGTGCGGATCACGACGGACTGTGGCGCACGGGCGAACCTGACGTGCGTGCTTGGACTAAGCGGGGTGCAACTCGGTGTTGGTGCCAGACAACGGACTGTCCGCATCGGAGGTGACGTGGTGGAGAGAGAGAGACAGAGAGAGAGAGAGAGAGAGAGAGAGAGAGAGAGAGAGAGAGAGAGAGAGAGAGAGAGAGAGAGAGAGAGAGAGAGAGGAGCAGACGACTGAGACGAGTGTGGGATCGTGACCTTTCTTTTCTTTTCCTTGTACAAGTGGGACCCTCCACGGCTACGCCGCGGCGCACAGCAACACTTGCTGATGGCGTCTCATTTTCCTTTCATCTCTCTCTCTCTCTCTCTCTCTCTCTCTCTCGCGCGCGCGCGCGCGCGCGCGCGCTTTGTTTCTTCCCATGTTGTGCTTGGCGGGCATCGGTGCTTGTCGTCTGCTGTCTCTCTCTCTCTCTCTCTCTCTCTCTCTCTCTCTC